CATTTTACCAGATGATAAGTAAAAGTCTCATAACTGGCCACTTCTAGGAATCTTTCCATCATTCAACTGTAAGAACTGTACCTAAATTACCTAAACTTTATTGCATTACAGTAATTTATCTGCAATTATCTTGAAAGTATCTCATGTATCTTGCGTCAAGAAAAAGTCATTCGAGTGAAAAAAAAAATAGAGCTTGTGCTGATGTTTCCAATAACGTATAATTGTTGATTCAGTTGTAGTTTTTGGAAGTATTTATCTTTTGATAATGCCTTGATGGTATCTTTGAACTTTCAGAACAGACAACTTGCCAACAAATTTGAAAGACTGATTCTATATTCCCTCTGTGATTTTTTTTTCTTCAAGTGATTGATTCAATTTTGAGAAAAAATCTATTTATCTTTCAGTAAATTTGGTTATTGGTATCAAGCATTTGCTACCATCTTATCTTATCTTATCGTTTGGACAATTTGTATCTTATTTCGAAATAATAATATCGATTTATTGTCCAAACATTATTTTTCTCTCAGTTTGAGGTGGTAGAATTCATCGAATGTTATCTAATTACCTTTATGTCAGTGAATTACTGCTTTCACTGATATTATCTTCCCATTCGAATGTTATCTAATTACCTTTATATCAGTGACTTACTGATATTATCTTTTCATTCGGAAATTTTCGATGACTTTTGTTCTTGTTAGATACTTCACGAATCAATAACGGTAAATTAATGAGCTAATATGTCAAAATTTGTTTCGGTTGAGTTTGAATTATTTCCGGGTTCATTCGGTCTGCCTTCATACCTTGTACTTTTCTTCTCTTTTATCTTTTCTATCTTTTCCTCAGTCTCTAGAGCGGTGGCACAACTTGAACTCTGTCAAGCTTCATTGGTCTGTTGCTGAATAACTCCCACTCCCTTTGTTTTTTTAAGAGCGTAGTTTCACTAAACTGTTTTATAGAATATCGAATATTCCCTGCACCTCTCAGTTCGGTCTACGGGTACGTTGGTTGTGTAGAGAGCACTTTGGAAAAGCTATTCTTTTTTTTCCTCTAACGTTATTCACCGACCGACTTTTGATAGTGTCTGCTGAGTTCATTTTGATGAACTACTGGCTAGAGACGGGTGGCAAATGAATCCTCCTGAGCCATCTTGATTCCCAATCAGGTTTAACGCTATTCTTCCTTCGTTTTCCCTTCTATCTCTTATCTTTCCTATCCTTCGATTTTTCATCTATGAGTAGATGAAACACGACATTCAGCCTCTTCTAGGACTGTTTGTAGCACTTTTGAAATTTCAGCATGACAGTGGCTATACTACTGTTGGGATGGCAGCTTCTCCCTAAGGCTGGACAATTGAGGTGGGTGTGTCCCTGGAGTTTCCCGTCTGCATCCCTGGGGCTTGTCGGCAGAATGTCCGGAGTCAGTGTGCTCTTTGAGGAAACCAAAAAGTGAGGCTTCTCTCTTATTCTCGAGATGCGCAATTTTGGTTTCGTGGGGTCAACTTCCATCCCTGATTACACCACATTTGGTTTCGGACATGCTGTTGATGGGTTCTGGTGGTGGGGATGGTTTGCTCTTGGGCCATATGCATCCCAGTTATATTTGGTGAAGATTTTTTAGTTTACATAACGATCTAATTTTTTTATAGGTAACTTTTGACGGTTTGAAGTTTTCTGGTATAGATCATTTCGAAATTTTCATGTCTATTCGATGAGGAGTTATTTCATTCGGAATACCTTGTCTTAGCCTTCATCTCACCAACCTATCTTTTGATGTTTAACTTATGAATTCAATTGAAAATCATTCCACAAATCATCATTGCGGGAAAATAAAAACACAATGAATCCTGTAAAATTTGTAAATCTTGTAAATACCTTCTGTAGATATTGTAATTTTTCTCTACTATATGAATTTCATGAATACCTATATTGAGGTGAATAAATATTTGAATCCATAATGTGAAGTGCCTTCTCTTGTCTACTAAGATTACTAGAATGAAGGTTGGGATAATGTTTTTGCAATTAAGAAAAAATTTGTAATCTCCTAGAGTTTCCAAATTTTTTTCACCGAGTTAGGGTGGTGTGTAACGATTATTCCGTTCCATTGAGATGTTTTTCAATTAATCAATCATTCAATTATCTGACGTCCATTCGTTCTTCTATCTACTTCCGCTTATCAGCCCTTCACCGGTTCAATAACCATATCGAATTTATCAAGTCTTGCGCGCTCGTCCTTCCCGCTAGACAGCGTCACAGAAGATCGAAGAAGGGAGACTGAATAACCAGTCAGGAGAAGGGATTGATGGGACAGGATCTTTCGCGAAGAACGAATAGGAAAATCAAAGTCCTTCTGATTTGAACTATCGACTTGAAAGGTTGAAGTGATAGGTTGTGTGAATTGAAGATATCTGGTAGGTCTGGATCTATTTTTATTTTTCTAATGAAATAACTTGTCATCGCAGACATTTGGTTTGTTAGATTTGATTATTACCTATGGAATTAAATATTAATTGATATATTTTTGATCGAATTTCATTTTTGTGAGAAATAATTGCATTCGAGTTAATTGAGGTTACAATTCATATCTGATGGTTTCTTAGTTAATAATTGGTCATCGGTATCAATTTATTGGATATTTGGGTTCTTTCTATATTTTATTAGCACTTATTGATGATATTTTCGTAAAATTGACAAATTTATATGTGATATACAATTTTTTTTCAGCTTAATGGTTAAGTAAAACCTGGATTTATCTGCCTTGTTGCTTGAATTTGCTTTTTATTAACGTGTTGCTATCAAAAGCTTTGTTGCTAATTTTTTCCTCATTCAATAAGTTGAAAACAGTATCTACTCTTTCAAAAATTTTTCTAGGTACCTATTGGAAATTCGAAACGTCATCGTAGTTTCCTCAGATGTTCATCCAGGAAACCTGAACATAAGTCTACTCTGTGTCTCGTCCAGGAACCTTGAACCTACAGGACCTAGAGCCTCGAAGTTGGACTTTGACGTTCAGGCTGTACTTCTCCAGGATTCTTTCTCAGGTGAGCATTTAATTTCTGTTATTATCTTGAGAATTTATTTCCAAGTTATTTTTTTTTCTCTGAGAAATAAATGCAACCTGAGGAAGGTTTCCTTCTCTCTATAGCCTGTTCAGTCAACCTTTGTCTGGTTCCTGTATAGGTTTTGCCTTCTTGTGACGAAAGCACAATCTATAGTTCAAGTTTTCTGGAAGTAAGATTTTTCTCTCTATCTTACTGTCAGTATTTTCCTTGGTCAACTCAACAAACCACATGTCAATGCATGTCTATTTCCTTATCTCCAGATATACCATATCTTAATTCCAGACCTGTCAACTTCACACCTAAAGTACTTACCTATTTTCTGGCATTCAACTTTTGAACCAGGACTTGCCACCCTGTATATATATCTTTATACATACCTTTTTCTTTTACTTCCACGGAAAAGTAGATTACCTGTTAACTTCAAACTTGAAAGAGTACCTATTATCAGGCATTTTACTTTTGAACAGGACTTGCCACCCTGTATATAGATATTACCATTTCTTTACTTTCACTAGAAGGTAGTTTTCTTGGCATTTTAGTTGAAGGATTTGCCACCTTCATTTAATATTCCATTTTCATATTTTCTTGATTGAATCTCAGTATCGACAATTTATCAAAGTTGAATTTAGTTTCTTCATTAGACAAATGATAATTTTTCCTTGATTTTTTTTTCTGTAATAATATATCAAATACCAGGATATCTCATTATATATATTATTCTAATAATCTTTCTCTGAGTTAATGATTTGATTCTCAGTTATTTCTGGTTTCAATTTGAGTCAATTTTCTCTAGTTTGTTTAAAAAAGACTGAATTTTCAAGTGTCAAGTTTTTTTTCTTTGAATTGAATATATACATATCTTCCTAATTTTTCTGAATTTCTAAAATTTCACATTTCAATTTGTTACTTTCCAAAGTATTAACATTCAGAACATAAAACTCAGTGAGCGGTTCAAAGGATATCCTTTCGTCCCTTTAATCACATTGTCGACAACTTTCTGATTCCTCGTATATTTCCGCATGCACTCTACGTCTATACCTGCATCGAGGATCCTGGTTAACCAAAGAGGGTTGTAAAGGACGGTAACACCTGGAGATTCCCTACTGAGCAGTCAGAACTGAAGGAGGCTATACCCTACTAACTTCCATCATAAGAAGTACTTGGTAGCTCTGGAAGCAGAACAGAGAGCTGGAAGCTGAACTGACTCTGAAGGTTGAACTCCCATTTACCTTAAGGAAACCCTCTTGGACAATTCATCCGGCCAACCAGGTATAATCCACCCAAGTGCCAAGACCTTCGATTGGAATCAGATCGAATCAATAGCTCTATGTAAAGTTGAATGTTCTGAATCTATTTTGATCCATTTCTCTTGTTTTTTAAATTTTTCAGTATTTTCAAATAATCCTCAATCTTGTTTTTGGGCCTTCAGCCACTTCAGTCTCACATAATTTTCAATATTCTTTTAGGGCCTTCAGCCACTTCACAGTTCACAAATTATTGTTATTTTAAATTCTTCTGGCCTTCAGCCTTTTGTAATTTTATCAAGGAAATAAATTGTTGAATTGATTCTCTGTATATTTGTTTTGTCTTCTCATCCAAGCAAGGTTTTTTAGGAAGTATCTGATTGGCTTTTGTCTTTTGCAAGCCTGGCGCCCAAAATTATCGAACAGTCAAATTGATTACATAAAATCACCATCTGGATTAATCACTTTTAACACCTCAATATTAAAATTGTAACTTTTGAACTCACACCCTACTGTATCAATCTGAGCAGCCCAAAGGCATGAGTATAAACTTTCATATTTTTTGTTTCAAAATTTTTCAAATTCTGAACTCAGAGTGTGGAATGTTACAGAATAACCATAGTTGAATACGTAGCAGGACTAAATCTCCTGCCCTATAAAACCTGGCAGTAGGTGAAAAATGCAAAACAAAAAAAAACATGATGTCGAGTGATAACAATATAATACCCCAGGTGGGTAGAGCAGACTGCTCACAGTCCCACCCTGTTTCTACAGGCAGCTCCACGGATTCTGGGAAGAGCAATCAACCGACCAGCATGCCAAATATGGAAACAAATACACAGGATGAAGAAATGACGAACCCCTTCCAGAGAAGGGAATCAGTAGCGAGATCTCCGCCCATGCTTAGGCATGCGATAGAAGCCAACAAGCTTGACAGTACAGAGGCAGACGAATGTTTTGAGAACCTAGGAAATGCAGGAACAAGTACCGACATAACCGATGGAAATGACGGCGCGAGACGGGAACCCAAAAGAAAAAGAGAAGACACCCCCGTGAAGATGAAAACCAATGAAACGAATTATCTACATAGAATGGAAAAAGAACACGACATGTTGAAGGAATTGATGAGGAGAACAACAAATGAGATAAAGACCCTTCGAAAGCTTATAAAAAAGATTCCCAATACGAAGAAACAGATAAGAACGGCGATAAACAAGCTGGATGAATTCTCCAAAAGAATGCCGAATGCCACAAAGTACATTGAGGAATTAATGGAGGAGCTGAGAACAACTGGATATAAAAACGAGACAGCTGCGGTCAGGAATACTACTGAAATGGGTACACAGACAATCAGCAAACAACATGCAGAAAAACTAAAAGTAATGGCAAGAATTGAAGATGCACTGGACAAGGAACTTAGTGACAATGAACTAAAGGAGATTATAGACCTCAAATGGCCCGAGGAAATATACAAAAAAATGCCCATTAGGCGAAGCCGGAGAATGCATAAGGGAAGATGAGGACGTAATCATAATCATGCAAGCGGGTAGAGAGATGGATGATATATCAATTAGGAACAGCATCGAAAGAAATCCACAGCTAATGATGGCACAGCAAGTAGGCAACTTGGAACCAGGGAGAATGATCTGCAGTAAAACAATAAATGAGCTGATTGGCGAGGATGACGCATTTGAAGACACTGTAGAAAAATATACGTACCTCATTATGACAGAAGGCGACGGAACCACACCTAGAGATACATGCATCCTAAGAAAGAACCTAGATAAAACCATTGAATTATCGAACAAAAACACGAGAGATAAAATTGCGTGTACGATGACCAAACGAATGGATGAAAAATATGTGAGGAAGATGCTGGAATACGTCTGCAGAAAGAAAAACACCGATATCAAAATGCACACCAATAGACCAAAACATGGCGCACGTGGCACAAAAGAAGGTGACGAAGCCCTTGCATTTGAAAAGAGCCCTATGTTGTAGGTAACTCAATGAGAATATATTTATGGTTCTGCTCTTGCTTCCACCAGAATAAATAATGAAGTATTCTAAAACGTTTATCACAATGACATAGATAGAAATGACACTCAATAATTTACTCCCTACAATGGTCAAACCTTCAGATTCTAAACCTAAACCCTATCTCAAGTCTATAGCGCTATCTGCGGTTAACCCCCCCAAGAACAAGTTCATATAATTGAAATCACTCTGTAGATTGATGACGAAGATCCAAAAGAAATGCAATCGTAGGCCTGGAAACTCCTTTCACCTTCTAACTGCTACTATACAAGAAAAGCAATATTGCTACTCACAATATTGATTCGTCTTTCTCGCCACTGCTCTCGCTGCTCCTTGGGTGCACCCTGTAGGTCGATGAACTGGCCGTGAATCAACTATCCACTCCGCTCCTCACTCTGCGATATCCAGTATCGTCAGAATACTGGTTTCATGCAAAAATCGTCCACTTATTTTCTTGATCATCAACTTTCTTCCTACTTGACAACTTGTCAAAAATCCTTCTTATTGTTTCCATTATTTTGACAACGTCCTTCCATTTTCCAATGCCTTCCCTTCAGAGTCAATTTCAATTCGCACACTTCCCCCTTACAACTAGAACTACCTACAAAACCTAGCATCTGATAGTTTGACTATACACACTAAAAAAAATGAAATAAACTGAAACCACGACATACCAGGCGCGTTACATCACCCCCCAGTTTGATTTAGTTCCATGAACCAAATTCAACATTCAACTGATTATAATACCTCACTGAATAGCAAGCACTGGAGGTCGAAAAGGTTTCAAATTGTATATATTCTGAACACCCCAAAACTCACCAGATACATCATCAACAATTCTATAAGAATTTGGGCTACTTGTTCAATCCTACCTGGGCCTTCATAAAGAAGGAAGAACTTTTTTATTTCTTGGACTTCTGCGGATGAAATTGGATGTGTCTTTACCAACACCTTATCCCCAACATTGAAAGTTACAAAAGATCTTTTATTCAAATCATGTCTCATCTGACGTTTTTCAGCTTTTCTCTTCAATCTTTTCCTAGCAAGAAAAATATAATCTTTTATTTTATTCTGAGATATCGGATAATCGATTGTCTGAATGAATTCATTTTTACGCGATTTATTGAAATGTACCTCATTAGGCGAATATCCTGTGCTTTCGTGAATTGTTTGATTCAATAAATTTTGAATATCCGTTAACACAATAGCCCATCTCGTATGTTTGGTATGACAATAAACTCTCAGAAGACGACCAATTTCCCTATTCACTCGTTCCGTCATATTCCCTTGCGGAAAATATACAGATATATGCACAACTTCAACATTATTCTCACACATCACTTTCTTTCACTCATTACTACAAGAATATGTTGCATTATCACTCAGAGTTCTTCGTGGTTTCCCTACTTCGATAAAATATTTGGATACCAAACACCGAAGAATAGATTTGGAGGTACCTTTCCTTAGCGCAAACAACTGCACGAGTTTACTAAAACCATCGATTGTCACTAACAATTGTGTTGAGCCTCCTCTAGATTTAGGAAGTGAACCAATCAAATCAACACACAATAACTCATTTGGAGTTTCAGGTGAAACTGACTGCATTCTTTCATGACAAATTTTCGTATTCTTGGACTTCTGACATAACTCACACCCAGACACCACTTGACCAATATGCTTTCTCATTTTTGGCCAAAAAGAAAATTTAGAAAGATGCAAAAAACATTTTGCAGCTCCAAAATGTCCGTGTTGCTCATGCTCTTCATGTATTATTAAAATGATTGAATCCTTTGGAATGCACAATCTGCTTTCAGGACTGTGTTTAGTTCCTCTGCGAAACAATACATCCCCATACACTAAAAACCATTCACGAAAACGTTTTTCCCCTTTCTCTCTTTTTTCTAGCTCCTTCTTCACACTTTGACAGAATACATCATTATTTTGCGCCAGTCGAATATTTTGGAGAGCCTGCTTCAAAACCTTCGAATCATCTTCAGTCTGAACTAAAAAAATTTGAACACCGTCAAAATTTGGTTTCTCAACAACCGAATCATCCTGTAATGGGTAACGTGATAATGTATCGGCTACCACATTATCAGACCCTTTACAATACTCTTTATTGAAATGATACTCTTGAAGGTACAGTATCCAACGAGATAATCTAGAGCTCATGAGTTTGCAAGATTGCATGAAGGTTAATGCCTTATGATCCGTCACATCCGTCAAATCTTTTCCTAAAATGAAAACACGCCAATGCTGCAACGCTACCACGATTGCCAATGCTTCTTTTTCTGTGACCGAATAATTGAGTTCAGGACCTTTTAGCGTCCTACTTCAATACGCAATCACTTTTTTATCCCCGGTTTCTTGTTCAATTTGGTATAGGTAAGCCCCTATTCCATAATGAGAACTATCAGTCGTTACATAAAATCGGTGCTCAAACAATGAAGTATTCTAAAACGTTTATTACAATGACATAGATAGAAATGACACTCAATAATTTACTCCCTACAATGGTCAAACCTTCAGATTCTAAACCTAAACCCTATCTCAAGTCTATAGCGCTATCTGCGGTTAACCCCCCCCCCCCAAGAACAAGTTCATATAATTGAAATCACTCTGTAGATTGATGACGAAGATCCAAAAGAAATGCAGTCGTGGGCCTGGAAACTCCTTTCACCTTCTAACTGCTACTATACAAGAAAAGCAATATTGCAACTCACAATATTGATTCGTCTTTCTCGCCACTGCTCTCGCTGCTCCTTGGGTGCACCCTGTAGTCCGGTAAACTGGCCGTGAATCAACTATCTACTCTGCTCCTCACTCTGCGATATCCAGTATCGTCAGAATACTGGTTTCATGCAAAAATCGTCCGCTTACTTTCTTGATCATCAACTTTCTTCCTACTTGACAACTTGTCAAAAATCCTCCTTTTTGTTTCCATTATTTTGACAACGTCCTTCCATTTTCCAATGCCTGTCCTTCAGAGTCAATTTCAATTCGCACACTTCCCCCTTACAACTAGAACTACCTACAAAACCTAGCATCTGATAGTTTGACTATACACACTAAAAAAAATGAAATAAACTGAAACCACGACATACCAGGCGCGTTATACAGTGAACAGAAGACGGAAAGCAAGAGACAAAGATACAATTATACTCAAACCACTTGCTGGCAGCACATATGCGGAGATCATTAGAAGCATGAAAAATGAAGTAGACACAGAAGGTATAATAATCGACAGGATCAACAGGACAGAGGATGGTAGTGTACAGCTGAAGATAAAAGGGAAGGAGGAACAGAATAGAAAAGCTTTCAGAGAATCACTAAGTACAAAGCTCAATTGTTTAGCGGAAATTGACGTTAAGCAAAGAAATGGAACTGTGATGATCATGGATATAGATGAAACAATACAAGAGGAGAACCTACGTGCAACACTCGAGAAAGCGCTTAGCGAACACAATGGAATGCAGGATGTGGTGCAGCAGAAGCTGTCAGAAAAGGCGAATAAAAACGGAGTCAAATATGCATTTGTAACACTCAAAGAAGACGCGGCGAAACACCTAGTGGCAAAAAAGTTCATAGGTGAAGGCTGGCACAGATGGAGGGTGAAAGAAATAAGTAGCCCACCTAGATGCTACAAATGCTACAGGGTAGGACACACAGCGAACAAATGCATGATAAGAAATGACATGTGCCATAAGTGGGGATTAACAGGACATAAAAAAAGGAATGCCGACATGGACAAAAATGCTACCTCTGCAATGCGGTAGACCACAAGGCTGAAACGATGCGATGCCCCGAATATAGAAAACTAGTAAAGGCGCATGAGATGGAGAAGAAGGGTAGCGTGAGATCTCCACTATGAGAGTAATCCAAATTAACCTCGACCGCAGCAAGAGGGCAATGGACCTGTTCAGGCATAAATGTACTATGGAAGACGTGGACATAGCACTGGTAGCAGAACCAAACAAAAATATGACCAAACAGAATGCCAAATGGATAACCGACAATAGAATCGATGCAGCCATATATATACCAGGAAACAAATCCAAGATGAGAAGAACAGGTGCAGGACATGGATATGTATGGGTAGAAAATGAAGACATGGTGGCCTACTCATGCTACGCAGACCTGGAACCACTGAAGAAGAATTCCACCAATTTCTGTTTGAACTAGGACTGAGTATAAGATCACATAAGAAAAGAATTTTGATAGGAGGAGACTCCAACGCTAAAGCATATAGCTGGGGATCGCCGATAGAAGATAAGAAAGGAAGTGCATTGGCAGAGTGGGCTAGCGGAAATGACTACATCATATTGAACGATGGTAATATACCCACCTTTGAAAGAAATGGCGGATCGTCATTCATTGACGTCACCATGTGCTCATCCAGCCTAGGAAGATTTATCAGAAAATGCTATGTGGATGAAGAGGAGAATCTGAGCTACCATAAAAGTATTCACCTAGAAATAACGGAACCGAACAATATGCAACAAGAACAAAAAAAACTTCGGAGAGGATGGATATACAAGAGCGAAAAGGAAGACCAGTTGCTCCAAGAAATAGAAAATGAATCTGAAAGAAGAAACTTTACACACGATGTAGAAGAGTTGTCATCAATAATTGAAGGTGCATGTAACAAGATACTGAAAAAAAAAACTGGCCCACAACAAACACAAAGGCACCTACTGGTGGAATGAAGAAATATCTGAACTGGGAAAAGCAAGTTTCATAGCGAAAAGAGAAGTGACGAGAGCAAATAGGAATCCGAATATAAGCGGAGAGAGAAAGTACGAAAAACAACAACAATATAGAGACCGAAGAAACGCACTGAAGAAAGCAATCGAAAAGTCGAAGAAACAAGCATGGAACACACTCTGCGAGGAGATAGATCTAGATCTATGGGGTCTAGGTTACAAAATAGTGGCTGGAAAACTAGGACGACGCTCTCCGATAGAAATGTCAGATGAGGACCAGATGAAAATAGATAGGGAACTATTCCCAGAACACGAGGCGAAGATATGGCCAAAAATCAGCGTAGACCAAGAGGAAGTTCCAGAATGCACAATTGAGGAGATCAAAGAGGCAGGACGCAAAATTGAACCAAAAAAAGCAGCTGGACCGGACGGAATATCTCCAGAAGTGATAAAGGCAATTGCGGAACAAAAACCAGAAACACTCTTGAGAACAGTAAACAAGCTCATCAAAGATGGAATATTCCCAAAGACATGGAAAGTAGGCAGATTAACCCTGCTTGAGAAGCCGACAAAGGCAGGTGGAACCAAATCTTATCGACCATTGTGCCTATTGAATGTGATGGCAAAATTTCGCGAACAGATCATCAACAACAGACTGACCAAGGAAATTGAGGAGAAAAATGGTTTTGCACGTACCCAATTCGGTTTCAGTAAAGGACTCTCAACGATGGATGCCGAGATGGATGCTATACAAGCTGTACAGAATTTTGTATACGACGTCCAAAGAAACTCCAGAGAATATGTCGCCATGGTAACGCTAGACGTCAAAAATGCTTTCAACTCGGCACCGTGGACTGGAATTGTCAGCGAATTGGAGAAAAGGAATATTTCCCACTATCTGACGTAGATAATCTAGCTGCAGATCTGAAAGAAAGAACGATACTGGTAGGCGAAAACCAAGAAATGACTATGACATGCGGAGTCCCACAAGGATCGGTTCTTGGACCAACGTTGTGGAATTTATACTACGACGACGTTCTGAGGATTGAAACGCCGAATGGAGTATCAATCATTGGATATGCTGACGATCTCGCGCTGGTAGTACGTGGAACGTATAGAATGGACAATTGGGAGAATTGGAATCTGGATGGCTGAGGCAGGACTGGAACTGGCACCTCAAAAAACCGAAGGCGTGATATTAATCGGCAGAAGGACCTTGAAACAAATCAAAATCAGAACTGGAATTCTGGAAATTGACTCAGTAAAGTCCCTGAGGTACCTGGGCTTGCAGATAGGACACAGCATGAGTATGAGTCAACACATTAAGGAAGTGGTGAAAAAATCAGAGAGAGCGGCAGCTGCACTGTGCCGACTTATGCCCAATATCGGTGGACCTAAATCAGGGAGAAGGAGGATCCTCAGCAGCGTAATCAACTCTATCATTCTGTATGGAGCACCTGCATGGAAGGATTGGGTTGAGAAAGCAAAATGCAGGAGGTTGATCGAAAGCGCACAAAGAAAGGCCGCAACAAGAATAGCAGGCGCATACAGAACAGTGTCAACAAAAGCGTTACAAGTGATTGCGGGAACCATACCAATACACTTACTGATCACTGAACGGACATATGAGAAGGATGAAAACAAGAGAGCAAAGAAAGCAAGGAAACTTGAAACGACCATGGCGAAATGGCAACAAGAATGGGAACAGGAAACCAGAACCGCTCAATGGACCAAGAGCCTAATACCGCAACTCGAACCCTGGCTGGATCGAAAACATGGGGAGGTGGAGTACTATCTGACGCAGTTTCTAACTGGGCATGGGCGTTTCAGATCTTACCTACTGCGCCTGAAGATAACAGACAGCGATGAATGCACATATTGTGGAGAACAGGATACACCGAAGCACACAGTATTGGTCTGTAGAAGATGGAACGAGGAAATACAAAGGGCAGAAACAACAATTGGAGAGCGGATGACGACACAGAACATAATGACGCACATGCTGGAGAGTGAAATTGAATGGGAAGCCATAGCAAATATGATCACCAGAATACTGAGAGAAAAAGAGAAGGATGAGAAGAGAGAGAAGAGGAACCTGAAAAGAAAAGAATAGGTCGTGGTGAAGTAATACCGAGAGGTAGTTCCACTGCGAATCTAGGCACGAGAGGAGGGGTTTTAGTCAGTAAGAGTCTGACACAACCCATACACCCAGGCGTATGGGAGGCCATAAGGGTTTCCCCTCAAAAAAAAAAAATAAAAAAAAACAACATACTGAAAATTCAGAAAATTTCACCGAGAACCATTTCACGTACTAAAAATGCGGCGTCCTCTCGATGTTGTTCTTCATCATCTCCTATTCCTTACTTCCAGCATTCAGCATCCCGGTATAAAAATTCCCATTGGTTCTATATCGGTTCGCAAGTTGATTGAGCAAATTCAATTTGATACTCTTCTGAAGGATTTATTCATCGTAGGTTCATACTCCACTCTCTAATGGACTCATGAATCATATTCATCATGATATTCTCAGGATTCTGTGGTATCATTTCATACAGATCTTTCAGGAAAATTCTGTACACACTCAATTCATCAGTTACGTAGCGAGATCACATGAGTACTGTAAGGGTTTTTATTCTGGGGCCCTTACTTTGACGCTCAGGACAAGAGACTACTCTGGTATTTGACAGGAGGGGGGATTTTTGAGCTTCAGACTGTTTTTGAGGTACTTTACTCTACCTGCTCTTCACAAAATATTTGTTGTACAGAGGCCCAAAGTAGCAACAATGGAAAAAGGTACAGGAGGTATACCTACCTCGGTACCCAAAGTATAAACCAGGGGTCAATGGTATTGAATCGACCTGGAATCAATAAGTAGCCAAGGGAGTGTAGGCTTTGATCACAAACCCTGCGATTAGCCTGAAATACTGATTGCTATTTCTAGTCTGGATAATTACAATAATAATAATAATCTGCAATCTTGAAAAATGAAAACATTGAAAGTTATTGAATGAATTGTTGGAACCATTCGGAACTGAAAACAATGACGACAAAGAAAGAAATATGGAATAAGCAATCACAAAAAAACCGTTTATTCGTAAATACAACTTTCTGGATTCGTAAACAGGTCGGGTGAGTATCGGTATGGAAAACAACAGGAATGAAATGCAACTATAAACAGGATGAATAATAATGGTGAAAAATATTATACCAACTTACATGTGCAACAGGAAATCACTATACATTAACATTCTACACTGGCTTTGAATGAAATATGAGAGCACTAAGAGATCAGCAAGAGAATCACGTGCTTGAAGAGCAATGTAGATCAGGGAGTGTAGACTTTTAGAGAAGAGCCTAGAGCAGAGAGACCTGAATCCTTGGATGTCTTCAGTATTTATACACTGATTTGGCCATGGCACAAGGGCAAGTAAATCTTGAATCTTATTGGTCGAAACTCTC